GCCGAAGGGGTATTGAGGCCAATCCCGAGAAGATCCAGGCCATCATCGACATGGAACCCCCACGCAACGTGAAGGAGGTTCAACGGTTGACGGGCCGCCTGGCATCCCTCAACCGCTTTCTATCTAAATCAGCGGAGAAATTTCTACCCTTCTTCCAAATCATGAGGAAGACGGCTGGCTTTCTATGGACTCCGGAATGCCAGGGGGCTTTCGACGAACTCAAGCGGTATCTATCTTCACCCCCTGTGCTCTCAAAACCAAAGGTAGGGGAGACCCTCTATCTCTACCTTGGGGTCAGCCCGGCGGCCATCAGCTCTGTGCTCATCCGGGAGGAAGACGGCATCCAACATGCCATCTTCTATGTAAGCAAGACCCTAAGGGAGGCCGAGCTCAGGTACTCCCCTTTGGAAAAAACGGTGTTAGCCATCGTTTGGACTGTCAAGAAGTTGGGCCACTACTTTCAAGCTCACCCGGTTCAGGTCCTCACTCATCAACCCCTCGGCGCCCTCATGAGGAGCCCCACCAGCTCCTCCCGCATGGTGAAATAGGCTATCTTCTTGAGCCAGTACAACATTGACATCCGTCCAAGGCCTGCCATCAAGGGCCAAGCCCTGGCGGACTTTGTGACGGAATGTACCGCAAGGGCAGCCACGGACGGGGAGCCCTCGGCTACCTCGGACGACTGGTGGACCCTCTACACCGACGGCTCCTCCGCGACCAAAGCATGCGGGGGAGGGGTAGTCCTCATTACTCCTGAGGGCTTCAGAGCTTACTATGCAATCCGCTTCTCCTTCAAAGTCTCCAACAACGAGGCCGAATATGGGGCCCTCCTATGTGGCCTTCGGCTGGCTGCCAACATGAGAGCTCGGCAGATCCACATCAAATGCGACTCCAAGTTGGTCGTTGGCCAAATCTCCGAGGAATATGAGGCCAAGGAGGGAAGAATGAAGCAATACAAGGAAGCGGCCAAGGAATTGCTTAAGGTATTTGAGGCACACTCTCTCACTCAGATACCGAGGGCTCAGAACTCCGAGGCCGACATATTATCTAAGCTCTCGGCCGACTCCCCCGAGCACATCTCCAAAATTGCCAAAATTGAGGAACTCAGCCTCTCAAGTATCCATGCAAGCCCCGTTATGAACATACAACAACGCCAAGAGGATTGGATCTCAGATATCACCACCTTCATCTCCACAGGGCAGCTACCCGAGAATGAGACCCGTGCTAAACTGGCGAAGCTGAGGGCTCCTAGCTACGCCATTGAAGATGGAAGGCTCTACAAACGATCTTACAACGGCACACTACTTCGGTGCCTTCATCAAGATGAAGCCGAGGTCGCAATGGAGGAAGTGCACAGTGGCACTTGCTCAGCTTACCAGGGACCCTTCTCCATGTCCCGAAGGCTCATTCTCCAGGGCTACTTCTGGCCAACCATGGCCAGAGATTGTGCTGACCTTGCCCGGAGGTGCACCGCATGTCAACATTTCCAGAAAGCCCCCGGCAGGCCAGCGGTCAACTATGCCCCCATCAGCACATCTGTCCCTTTTTCTCGATGGGGGATAGACCTCGTGGGCCCTCTGCCGAGGGGTACCTCCAACAACAGGTACATCATTGTGGCCATCGACTACTTTACCAAATGGGTGGAGGCTGAGCCCCTCGCTAGCATCACAGAGGCGAAGTGCCGTAATTTTGTCCTCAAGAACATCCTCACAAGGTTTGGCGTCCCTCAGCAAATTATCTCCGACAATGGGACACAGTTTGAGAGAGCCCCCTTCTGTGCCCTTCTGGAGGCATGGGGCATCAAGCACACCTTCTCCTCCGTTGCATACCCTCAAGGCAACAGGCAAGTAGAGAATGCCAACCGGACCTTGCTCGAGGGCCTCAAAAAGAAGCTGGAGGCCGAGGGCGGTGGCTGGGTGGAAGAACTCCACAACATCCTGTGGGCCTACCGCACCACCCCTCGGCGAGCAACAGGTGAAACACCCTTCTCCCTGTGCTACGGTTTTGAAGCCAAAGCTCCTACGGAAGTCACCCTTCCCACCCGAAGGGTGATCCAATATGACCCCGAGGTCAACGACAGCAACATGGCCCTCGACCTCCATCTCATTTCAGAACGCCGGGAGCAGGCCTTCATCCGGGCAGAAAATTACCGAAGGCAAGTCAAAAGCTACATCAACGCCAAAGTTCGTACCAGAGAATTCCAAGTGGGGGACTATGTCCTCCGGAGGAGGGAAGCCAGCCAACCAACCGAGGGAGGAAAAATGGCACCAAAATTCGAAGGCCCCTACATCATAGCAGCCATCATCAAACCTAGGACCTACAAGCTCAAACGCCCCAACGGGAAAGAAGTCCCTAGGCACTGGAATGTACACCACTTAGTTAAATTTTATCAATAATGTAAGAGCGGCCAAGCCCTCATAACTAGTGAATGTACTATCTTATGGCCCAAGGCCTCTAATTTCGAAGAATGAAGATACATTCAAGACATCAAGCCCTCATACTGACTACAGGCCCCCGGCCTCAGCACGAGAAGAACCCCCTCCGGCACCAAGTGCCGAGGGCGGACACCATCAACACCTACAACAACAGTGAAAACACCACGTGTTTTCAGTCAAGACCCCTCGGTACCAAGTACCGAGGGAGGGAACTCCTATCACCAACAACAAGGAACGCCACGTGTTTCATTTCCCTTCGGCACCCAGTGCCGAGGGTACATCCCCACCTTCAACATCAAGAAAGAAAAGATGAGAACACCAAGTGTTCCTACAGAAGACCCTTCGGCACCCAGTGCCAGGGGAATGCTCTCCTATCAACTTCCAAACATCTGTTGGGAAACACCAAGTGTTTCATTTGAAGACCCTTCGGTACCAAGTACCGAGGGTAGACGCCTACATCAACTATAACAAAAGAGAACACCAAGTGTTCCTACAGAAGACCCCTCGGTACCAAGTACCGGGGGCTACACCTCGAAACTAACACCAAGTGTTGTTTCTAAAAGCCGTACCCCACGAGGACGCATATACCGAAGGCGCCACCATTGGTGCCGGCGGCACGTAGTGCCCCCGGCCATTTGCAACTAGTGTGCAAATGAAAACCCTTCCTTGAAACGCTTTCCGCGTCATTACCCCCAGGGTATGACAGGCATGAGAAATGCCCAGGATTCGACTTTCAAAAACGGAACGCTATCCGCGTCATCACCCCAAGGGTGTGACAGGCACGAGAAATGCCCAGGATTCGACTTCCAAACCGAAACGCTCCCCGCGCCACCACCCCAAGGGTGTGGCAGGCCACGGACTATGTCTAGCGCCGAGGGGACGACTTTCAAAAATGAGGCGCTTTCCGCGCCATCCCCCAAGGGGAGGCAGGTTACGGACCACCATATCTTGTGCCCAGGAAACGACCCTCGATCCCCTCGGAACTCGGAAGGTTAACCCAAGGGAGGAGAGCCATTGGTGTATTCTGATGGTCTCCTAATAGGCCCAGCCTTACCAAGAAACCAAGTTTCTTGATGCCTTCCCTTCACCACCAACCAAAAAAAAAAGAGGGGGTGAAGGGGAGTAGACTCAGCGAGAAATCAAAGAGTACACTCCAACAGATCACAACAAGCCGATGGCTCCCCACGGGAACACCTCCGGTAACTGAAGGCTCCTATTTCCCGAAGGATACTACTCGAACAAATAGCATCAAGAAACGGCTAAGTCCACTGCCTGGTCACCTCCGGTCACACAAACACCGAAGGCTTCAACAATGCAAAGGGACTGGACTATCCAAAGTACACTAAAACGGTACCTTCAAACAAATACCGAGGGCCCCCACCCCATTGCAAGGGACACAACTGGCTAAGTCAGACTCTACAACTTTTCAGAGTGTATGGCGACGGCACACACTCCTCATTGGCTTTCTTCACAACAACAGGATTCCACATATATTTGGCCATCGGTCAGAGACTCATACAACACAAGGGATCTACATCCGGAAGCTCAACATCAATTTACGCTTAGAAAATATTCTAAGTCCTAAATGAGTAGCCCCCGGGCATCTCGCAAAGTGATGTATAGTCAGAGGGCACCTATCACCCGAAGGCTACACAAGGAAGCAGCACTTGAAAAAATTCTAAGTCCTAAAGATTGGGCCCCCGGCCCAATCAATATTACAGCCAAGGGAATATGGAAGCCGAAGGCCATGCAATACAACAACGCTTAAAAAAAATATTCTGTCCTAAATGAGCAGCCCCCGGGCATCTCGCAATGTGATGTGGAGTCAGAGGGCACCCATCTCCCGAAGGCTCCCAAGGGAAAATCTACACTTAGAATATTTTCTAAGTCCTACATGTTTTTCCCCCGGTCAACTACTCATACATCAAGAAGGGATGCCATCACCCGAAGGCTCCCAAGGGAAACTCTACACTTAGAAGATTTTCTAAGTCCTACATATTTCACCCTCATCTCAAGGGACCTAATTGCCGAAGGCTACCCATCAATCGAGGGCTACAGTACACAAGGAATCAACACTCAAGAAAATTTTCTAAGTCCTAAAGAATTGGCCCCCGGCCTATTCAATATTTCAGTTGGGGCTCCACAGTAGCCGAAGGCTACGTGACATACTACACTTGCAAAAAATTTCTAAGTCCTGTACATTGGGCCCTCGGTCCAATATTCACACATCAGGAACGGATGCCATCTCCCGAAGGCCCCCAAGGGAAAATCTACACTTAGAAATTTTTCTAAGTCCTAGGAATTGGGTTACTGCAAACACCCGAAGGCCCTAAGGTGTGCTACACTTAGAAAAATCTTCTAAATCCTAATTCCTACTGAACCCTCGGGTGCATATCCAGCAGAGGGTGCCCAACTACCGAAGGCTTCCAGGGGCAAGCTACAATCAGAAAATATTCTAAGTCCTAAACATACATTCAAAAATACCGAAGGCATACACTCAAGGAAAACGGAGGCATACATTCAAGAAGAGAGGAATTGGAGAAAACAAGTCATATATACAGAGCCCGAAGGCAATCATTCAATCATCAACAACAGAGGGCAAATGTAATTACGAGTAAATGTTACAAGCAGGCCGAAGCCGAAGGATGAATAATGTCACCATTACAAATACATGTTTACATAATGCATGTTACATATCAACAATGTCATTCCCGGGGGCCGCCTCCCCCGATGGCTTCGAGGTAACTTCTGCGTCGGCCTCAGGTTCGTCACCCTCGGCTTCCTTCATAAGCTCAGAGTCCTCCAGGTCTGGCCTCTCGACATCGGGGGGGAGAGGAACACGGATGTCTGGCTGCAGGGGGGAGCCCGTATGCTGCCGGGTCAGAGTCCTTTGGCTCGATCTTCAAGTGGCGAGCCATCATCCGGTAGATGAGGGCTTGAGTGAAAAACTCGCCCCCATCATAGTATTGTTTACCCTTTCGGGAAACCCACTCCACGCCAGGGCCATCACACCACTCGTCAACCGAGGACTCGACGACCGAGGACAGCCATTGCTTGTGCTCCTCGGACCGCCACCCCCCTGCCAAGAACCCCGAGATTGCGTCCCCTCGGGCTCTCTCGACGGCTTCCACCTTCGCGGCCTCAGCCTCCTTGACAGCTCTCTCCAAGGCCTCAGCTGCGGACCTCTCAGCCTCTGCCCTGCCCCGATCTGCGGCCTCCGCCCGCAGGGTCATCTGCCGAAGGCTCTCCTCCAGCATAGCCATCTGCCGAACAGCGTCAGCATTCTGGCGGATGAGCTCCCACATCTTAGCCTCCTGCTCGGCCTTGCGAAGGCGCCACTCCTCTAGCCGCCGGGCTTGCTCCCCGAGGGCAATGCAGGTCTACAAAAACAAAGGGGTTAGCGGGGCCAAACATGGTTTCTTAGCTCAAAGTAAAGAAGAAAGATATAAACATCAAAGACTTACTGTGAGGGAAGACCGGAGGATCCTGTCCTCGAGGGCTTCGTCTTCATCAGCCCCGAGGGCTACTCTGTCAATCTCGAGGGTGATGCCTCTCAGAAGCGCCCTCGGGTCGGCCGTACCGTTCATCACGGCCGTACCAGCCGGGAGGGAAACCATGAGGACCTCGGAAGATGGCCCCTGAACTCCCGACGACACTTTCGCCACCTGCATGTCCTCATTCGCCCCGGAGGCAGGGCCTTCATCAACAATGATCACCGGAGGGACTTTCTTCCCGGCATCCCCAGTCTTGGGCTTCTTGCCCTCGGGATCTCTGCCCGAGCCCTTCCTTTTGGCGGCAGCGGCAGCATCAGCACTTGGGCCCACCGACGGCCCCTCCGGTTTTTTGAAGAAGTCACCGGCGGGTTTTGGGACACCGACGTCCGTCCCCCTCGGGCCCTTGGAGGGTTTTTTCTTCTTCATGTCTGCAAGGCCTCTGACGTTCATCATTTTCACTGGGACACCTGCAAAAAAAGTATGGGGTTAAAACCGAGGGGTTACTGACCGAAGGCACAAGGGATAAAAAGAAAAAAAAACACGAACAAAATAAGCTATGTGCTAAGATATGAAAACCGAGGGACCTCGTAGACTACCTCCTGCTCCCCCGAAGGCCTCAGCAAAGATGGGGTACTTCTCGTCCGCTTCCCCAATGAATCGGTATCTCCGAAAGCCGAGGGCGTAGAGTCCCTTGTCGGCAGTGTAGTCTTTGATGGAGACCTGCTTTGTGCGACCCTCCGGGATTTTGGCTATCACCAGGCCATCTTTCTCAAGGGCGGCGCTTCCAACCTTCGGATGCCGACAGAAGCGATCCCGAAGTTCCGCCGGGAATGGGTTCTCAGCAACCCTGACATAGCACCAGCGCTCCTTCCAGCCCTTATTGGACGAAGGCGCCTCCGTAAATAGCTTCCACCTGGCCACCTGCTGCAGGTTGGCGAAGCCCTCGGCATTCGCGTGACCCCCTCGACAGAGGTTGAAGCTCTGGAAGAACAAGTCCAGGATGGGGGTCACCCCTCGGTCCCTACAGAGGTTTAAAAAACCCGCCACATAGGAGTGGCTATTAGGTGTCAGCTGGCAGGGTACCAAGCCAACAAACCTCAGGTACTCCCGGAGGAAGGGGTGCAGAGGGAACCGACGGCCCATGGAGACCGACAGTACGTGTACTGCGATACACCCCTCGGGCGCCCGAGAGAGCACGTCGTCAACTCCCGGCTCGACCACCACGGCCGAGGGCCCCACGTGTAGCTGCATGACGTAGAGGTCCACCCTGTCCGCCTTCGACTTTATCTCCAAGGCAGCCGTATTGATCCAGGAATACCCCTCCGGCATATCTACGGGTTTCCCCTGATCAGCAGCAATAACCTTCTTCTTGGGGGCAGCTGCATTGGCCTTCTTCTTCCCGGGGGCCACCCGGATGGGAACTGCATTCAGCGGCTGGGAAGTACTGGCCTCACCAGCACCCCGAGGGGGAAGGACGGCCACAGTGACCTTCGCCCTCTCCTTTTCCTCCTCCTCTTCGGCAACTTGGACGGCGAGGGCCAACTCTTCATCCTCGGCAGTTCGCTCGAATTCCTCCGCCTCGGCCTCGGCCATCAGATCCTTCTGCACCTCAGTGGCGAGGGCTGCATCACCACCATCCGAGGGCTGACCGCTACTGGACTCCACGTCAGAGATGCCTTCGTCCTCCATCGAGGGCGTCCTCGAGATGTCCTGGGAATCGCTCTCGGACGACATTTTTATCACGAAGTACGCCTAAGATTTCGAAGGCTTTCTACAGGACTAACACTAATCTAAGGCCAGAGGGCGGAACTTACTAAAAGTTTGGAGAGGAAAACGGGCACTGACCTTGAAAGCAGAGTTATGACCGAAGGCTGGAGTTTCTCTCACTAGAATTTTTGGCAGAGCTTCGCTGGGACAACTGATCGCACAAGAGGAAATGGCTCTGGCCTTGGGGTATTTATAGGCGCTGGAATCCGGGCTTGGGCCTGGATTCCGGGCCTCCGGATAGACGCCATCATTACACACCGTCGTTTCACCCAACCGGTGACGCCCGCCCGCGAGCAGCCAATGACTACACTCCACGTGTACCCCCCCCCCCCCCCCCCCCACCCCCAACGGCTATAAATCTGACGCTACATATTCCAACGGCTATATTCCCAACGGCTATATTCTGGAAGCCCCCGGGTTTTCTACTTCACTCCACTTCATCAAGGATAGCCTCCGGGTACACTTACCCAGAAGCGCCCCCGGGTTGTGCCCCTCACAGCACATAACAGACGCCTTCGGGATCACTCCTTCAGAAACCCAGGGCTTCATATCAGGGCACCCCTCGGGGATTCCCCCTCAGCACTGCAAAACCGAGTAGCCCCCGGGGAGTTGCCTCATTAGCGGATAACCCGTGACACACAGGTAATGGGAGCCCTCGGGTATCTTCATCACCAACTAATCAACAAACCGTGGATCCCCCGGTAACAACTCCATTGCCGCCCTCATCCAGCAGGCCCTCGATCCCCGGATTGAGGGGCTCCCCTTCGGCGCCCCCAGGACATCAACAGCAAGCCTTCGGCTAATCAACACATGAGCCCTCAGAAAAGGAAGAGCCTTCGGCATTACCGTGATTCTCCATTTTGACCAAGGTTTCACATTTTCGATTCATCATTGGGGGAATTCGGTGCACTCTTTTTCCCTCATTAGGATTTTCCCCCCCAGGGTTTTTCCTAATGAGGTTTTTAACGAGGCATCCCCCCAAAATGAAACGAAAAGCGTCAGCCTTCAGCCCACAACAGCAACGCAACTACTCTACTCCTTTTCACCACTTTACAAGTGCCTCAAGGAGTGGGGGACTGGAGAACCCCCTCGGGAAAATCATTAAATTACAAAATTAGTGAAATTCCAACAAACGACAAAGCAAGCCCTCAAGTCCCGACATGTGGGTAACTGAGGGACTGCCGTCGGCAGGGACATAAAAGCAACAACTCCTCACCAACTTCAGAGATCACGACAGGACAACATCAAAGGGCAAGCACAAGTTACTCCTTTTCCCTCAAGTACCTTTCGGCAAAAGGAGTGAGGGACTCCTGATGGAGTATATGGCTCGGGAACCCCCGGCCCACAGACTCCTACTACACCAATGAAGGCCCAACAGGCCCAGGAGGCCCACCAGGCCCAAATCACAGCGCCCAAAGTACCAAGCAGCCCGCACTGCGCGCCAGGGGTGCCTTCGGCCCCCTGGCCGAAGGCTCCAAACTCTCACAGAACGGGTTTCTCAAGCAAATGAAGAAACTGGGAGAAAAACGGCGAAGACAGTAGCCCTCGGCACTGTGAGCCCTCGGCACCAGGGTGCCATCGGTTGGAGGAGCCCTCAGCTACTGCTCTATAGCCGAAGGCATCTCACTCGACAAGATATCCGCCTCACATGCGTACAGATCACCGTACCTTGCACAGACGTCCCATCCAACAGCCGCATTAAATGCGGCCACATGCGGCTGCCAGCGCCAACCAGTTGAGGTGACCCCTCGGCCAATGAGCGCTTGACACGTGTCCCTGTCCGGCATTTATTGCTACTATAAATAGCACCCCATTTCCCCATTTGTAACCACGCTGAAAACGGCATTCATACTGAATACACTCTCTCTCTACATTTACTTACTCGCTCTGACTTCTCTCTAAGTTATTCCCCGCAATAACCCTTCGGATATATACCCCCGGGTAGACTATCCATCAACTGTGATGTTATAAATGTATTATTTTTAATATTTAATGATTAATTTGTCACTTAAGATTGTTAATTATTTCCTAAAATGAAAATGAGAACCTTTATATTGACGTCCAAAAAAGGAAAGTGAGGACATTCTAATGGGACGGAGGGAATATGTTTTATTCTAAGACAGGATACATAATAAAATCCACTTATTTCGGATGACATAAATTCGAGTAGAAAATACGTCCTAATCTGAAAGATAATAAACCATCCAAAGTTTTCAACTTGCTTTTTTTTGTTAATTAATAGCGCCGCTCTCCATATTCACCATTTCTGAGTAAAGCTTGCTTTACATCTTCGGCACTCAAGGCTTCACTGTTCCTCAATTCCTATCATCATCATCATAAACATTTGTGAGAAATTAAAAGTCAATATTCCAACACAATCACTAGTACTGGGTATCTGATATCAAAGAATGCAACAGAATATGGAAAAAATAAAATAGGGAACGTCGAGATTGGACAAGTCAAGACTCAAAAATTTGTATTAATTGTCTTTGACACACGACCACTCCTCGATGAAAGACGCACATCCTTTTCAGGGAAAACATAGATTTTTTGTTTGGTTTAAGAAAAGAAAGGTTTTTCCTTCCTCAATTATGGTCGTTTGTGATATGTAGTCCCTAAGGATGGACCCCGGTCAGCCCGGTTCCGATTCCATATCATACCGTCTGGTCCAAAAAATTGCCTTGGCCCGGGTCCGATCCACTTTGCTCCAGATCTGGGTACTCGGTCGGTCCGGTCCCAATTCAAGACTCAGTTATAAAACCGGTTTGGGCCCAAAAGCAAGATCATGAACCTCTCTAGCTAGGGCAAATAGGTACGGTCTCAGGCCCGAAAACGCTCTAAACAGACTTGATCCGATCACAAACTGTGATGGACTCGGTTCTGAACCGGATTAAGTCACCGGACCATGTCCATCCCCAGTTGTCCCTCACAGATATCATACTACGTAAAGGACCGTAATTCGGAGTCAGTTCAGGCAAGGGGTGGGTCAGTGAAACCGAAAACTTAAAACCGAATAAAAAAAACTCAAACCGCAACCAAATAAACCGAACCGCATGAAAACCGAAACCGAACTCAAAAAACCGAACTCAAAAAACCGAACCGAACCATTGTTGTTTGGTTTTGATTTTTGTTTTGGTTTTCACATCTCAAAACCGAGCCGAAAAAATCGAAGTTTTTAAAACTTGCTATCTCATTTGTTAATCATTAAGTATAATATTTTGTTTAGTTCTTGATTGTTAATTCTAGATAATTAACGTTTGAAACTAGATTTATTGTGATCTGCAAGATATTGACATTTAACATGCATGATTTAATCAAGTGAAACGTTTGTACATATACTTAAGTATATGGGTATAATATTAAGGGAAAAGTACGGAAAAGATACTTGTGGTTGGGCTCGTTTTCAGATAGGGTCATGTGTTTTATTCTTTATCAAAGAGGTTCATGTGTTTAAATTCCGTTATCACAAGAGGGTCACGTCGTTAAAAACGTCTGAAAAGACCGTTAAAAGTAACTCCGATTTTCAAAAGTGCCTGAAAAATTAAAAGAAAAATACCGAAAGGTGCGCCTCGTCAAGATGAGCTCCAAACCACCTTTGCCTTTGGATTTTTCAGATCTGTTTGAATTATTTTTTAAAAATGATTTCGCTAATATCACTTTTCCGATGGACTTTCCAGTGACAAGGGTGACTGAAAACCAAAAAGAAAGATGGCCTAGCGGTCGTCCTATTGAGGCGCACCTTCCGGTATTTTTCTTTTAATTTTTCTGGCACTTTTGAAAATCGAAGTTACTTTTTCAAACGTTTTTAACGTCGTGACCCTCTTGTGATAACGGAATTCAAACAGATGAACAACTTTGATAAAGAATGAAACACATGACCCTATCTGAAAACGCGCTCAACCACAAGTACTTTTTCCGTACTTTTCCCTAATATTAATATGTTGATACTTTAAATCATAATTTACATTTTGCTTATTGTTGCATGACAATGATATTTTGTTGATATATTATTTGTTATGTATGTTTATTATTACATATTTTTTTATATTCAACAAATATGTATTAATATGAATTATACTTTAAACAACATAACCCAAAACGTGAAACCTTGGAGCATAAATATCTGTCTAAAAAAGACAAATAAGTTATTTACTATATATCAAGAAAAGTCTTTTAGTAAAAAAGAATGAATTAGTAGACACAACATTTACAAATAAAATTTTAACTTGCGACTACACTATACTCCGTACATAATTCACAAATAAACTCATGTGTTTAATGAATCTATAAAATGTTTAAATTGGTATACTCAT